ACTCATTAAAATATGATTTGAATAGTTCATATATAAATTTTAATCTGAACAGTTCAGAACTGTATTGAAAATATTAAAATTATAAATAAAAATAATTTTTTATTTTATTAATTTTGCATAGTTATTTATCTATGAGAGATAATATCATTCAAAGCATAGTTAGATATTAAATATAAGTACTTCTCTTAATAAAAATTCAAATATTGATTTATTACAGTGTAAGAAATTAACTCATTTTATTAGATTCAACTCTTATTTTAAATTATTCAGATCATTTTTTATTTTTCAGTACAGTTTTCAATGCTCAGAGCAAAATTTTCATTCAAATTATTTAGGTTCAATTTTAACATCTTAATATTTATTAGTTTATTAAATATTAAAATAATAGTTTTATAATAATTATTTATTATTATAATAAATTTATGGTTTAAAAAAAGGGAAAAAAAAAAAAACACTGCCAAACGGCAGTGTTTTGGTGCTGAGCACCACGGTGCTCATCCTAAGATGAGCACCGAAACCGAGTCCATCTCATCTCCTTCTAGACACAGAACAGTGGCCTCAAAAGCGACACTGAGAAACTGTTATTGTTGACAGATATTGCATTTTATTTAATTAATTAATCCTCAAAGGAATTTCTTCAATGCAGCAAAATGTCTCTCACAACAAAATTATGCGTTTCATTTAATTAATCCTGGTATGTAGCAAAGCAAGAACTGTAGGATTAAGTGAGCGGTGCATGGATCACAGATATTGTGTAGGGAGAGAATGTAGGGTGAGGATTTGGACCAATTGTGTAATCTTTGTCCGTTAAGACGATGGAATCAATTAATATTAGTACCTCTGAGTTATTAGAGTAGTTTCATCATCCGATGTCACAGGTGAACAAATTCATCCTCGTACAAATAGTCAGAGAAAAATACACGATGAATAAAATGACTTTTTTTTTGGGGGGGGGGAACATAAATAAAAAGGACTTTTACATCATAGTAAAATTGGATTAAGTTTTTGATGATATAATCAATATGATTCCAGGACGTTCATATATTGAAATGCATTGAGTGGTCAACACCAGGGATCCAAATGCAAATCAGAAACATGAAAAACGAGAAATTGTGAGCCAAGAAAAAGAAGAAACACAATGAGGTGGGCCAGGAGTTAGAAGAAATTTTATGGAAATGATTCGAACGAAGATGCCAGGGAGGTCGGTATGACCCCCCCTGGTGGGGAAACAAGCAAAACTACTCAAAAAGCACACGAGTCTTTTTGATGGGACCTGAAGCGAAAGGGAGAGACTTGTTTGGAAGAATCATTTAGGTTGGATTTGGATTGGTTGGTTTGAGTTAGAAATTTAAATTTAAAATCTCATATTTAAAATTTATAAATTTTAAATTCTTTGTTTATATGATATACCAAAATTCAAATTATAATATTAAAATTATTTGTTTGGATTTTAAATAAAATTTTAAATTTTAAATTTTATATTTGAATTTAAAGGCAATTAGGACGATGATGATGGTTCGGTTCTAGTCAAAAGTCAGTGGTCCAGTCCAAATCAAGGGTGGCAGTCCAATCTCAATCGACTCCAACTGTTTGAACCTAGATGATGTCAGAGATCTAGTCTTGATTAGTAGCAGTAGCCCGATCTCAATCGACATCAGTAGCTCGATACTAAACAGTGCTTACGAATTAACACAAGATGATTACAGTAGTCTGAGGGCTGAGGATTGGACCTAGATGACAACACCAGACCATTCCTCGTTAAAGTAGTGTTTAGCACTAGATGGCAAAGGCAGATGGATCAAAGATGGTGATCATAAATAGTGGTTAGGTATTGGTCGGCACCAACTATGCAGTTCTAGTCAATGCTGGTGGTATGATCCTAGTTACAATCGATGGTTCGATCTTGATCGCAGCCAGCGATCTAGTCTTGGTTGACACCGGTGATCTTGTCTTGATTTGCTTTGGCCCTCTGTTCTTGGTTTGTGCTGATCGTTCGGTCTTGATTAAAGCCGGTCATCTGGTCCTGGTCACAGCTAGACATTAAGTCTCAGTCATCATCAATGGTTCCATCCTGGTCAGCTTTGGCCCTTTGGTCTTGATCAACACCGATCATGCAATTTGGGTCATCGCCAGCTATTCAATCTTGGGTGGTGTTGGTAGTTAGGTTCTAGTTGGCATGGGAGATCCGATCCCAATCAAAAATGATGGTTCGGTCTTAGTTGGTGTTATCTGTGAGATGCTAGTCAAAGTTGGCTGTATGATCCCAGTCAAAGATGATGGTTCGGTCCTAGTTGGTGTTATCCATGAGATGCTAGTCAAAGTTGGCCGTCCGATCCCAACTGGCACCGGTTGTCTAGTCCCTATCAATGTCGCTTGTTAGGTCTTGGTTGACTTCCGCAATTTGGTCCCAGTTGATGTTGGCCGTTTGATTTTGATGGATGTTAGCCAGAGGCAATGATGTTCAAGTCTACAAGGTAGTGAAATCGACGAATGAAGGCAAATGAAAGAAAAAAACTTTTCATTAAAATTTAAAATAATAATGATTTAGAAAATATTTAAAATTACAAAAAGATTGAGGTAAGATTTGGCTCAAATATAAATTCAAATTTTACATGCATCCAAACGTAGCATTAAAGTTTCATGCAAAGGATTTAAGTATAAAAAAATTCATAAAATTTCTCTAAAATACCATATCTTTTGCTGAAACTATCAATTATTGTTGAATAACAATCGTTAATTAATTTCGATAAAAAATAGTTGTCAATCAATACCGTTTAGTTGGCAACTGAAAAATTCGATCAACAATTATAAAAAAGTAATTGAGAACTTTAAAATAACAAATTGATAATTTTGTTAAAAGAAAAATTTTATAATTTTATGGAATTGTACTGTATCTAGAATTCTAGATGCATTGCGTGGGAAGTCAAAGTGATTCGGCCTTGTTCGAATTCCGGGATCTCTGAAATGAGCGATCCACAATGAGAGCGTGGCGAAGTGGGCTCTTCTATCCTTGGACAACAAATTACAAAACGACAAATGTTCAGTGGGTTCTTCCATCGGTTTAAAAGTAAAAGGTATGGGTCCCACACGGCTGAGAGGTCAGACCCAGGAGTTGCCACGTTGGCGTTCAACAGGGCTAGCTCGTGTCCCCGCCGGTGTCCGAAAGGCACTCCGGAGGCTGAGTTGCTCCGAATCTTCTTTCCCCAAATAAAACGCACAATATTTACCTTCTCCTTCAATTCAACTCTTGCGCCTTTGCAATGGCAATCTCCAGAATGCTCCGCACGCCGTCTCCGCCTATCCACCTTTCTTCTTCTTCTTCTTCTAACGCTCCCTCCTTCACCACATTTCTACGATCCCAAAGCAATAAGGCCGCTCCGGATCCGAAGGCATCCCTCACATCCCACCCTCCACCTGTAGCTCCTCCGTCAGGATTCTCCGCCTTCACTGCGACCTTGGTGCCGAGTTTTGGGCGTCTCATGAACTCTCTTATATTGACCACCTCCTCTCCTCTCAAAACTCGCCCTTCCGATCTACAGCTCCAGCTGCTTATTCAGAAGGTAATGTTATGCATGCCCGTCCATTCATTTCTAGCTAACTACGTAGGCGCTGACAATTTCAGACACTTGCAGGCCATCATTGATTGCCGGTTTTTGACATTATTTGCCGTGTTAGGATCTCTACTTGCTTCCGTATTATGTTTCTTTGAGGTGATTGATTGAGCTATTCCTTTTGCAAGTCTTTTACCTTTTCCTGTATCTGCGTGCAATGTTAAACTTTTTCTCCATCCCGAAATGCAGGGTTTTGCTCTTGTTATCCAGTCCTACGCTCAATATTTTCGTATCTGGTCAAACATGTCGGATCAAGGCCATGTGGTCAAACTACTAATCGAAGCCGTAGGTCTTTATCTGGACTAAGCCTTTGCATGGGCTCCATCTTCACCCTCAAAACAGAATCTGATTGCATCCTTTTTGTTTCTATGTTTTTGGGCAGATATGTTCCTGGTAGGAACTGGCATGCTCATGTTTGGGGTGGGTTTGTACGTCATGTTTGTCGGATCCAAGACTGAAGAACAGCCATGGCTTTATGGACCAGACTTTCAGGTAAGTGCGGCAACATGCACTCTCTTTTTATCACTTTTGACTGTAATTAAGAAGCTATAGTTACGTGCGATTTTAAAACTGATCGTTTGAACGGCTGGTGGGGGTTTTTCATTTCAGTCAACTCCACGATGGATGGGAATAGAATCTATTGGACAGGCAAAGTCGAAAATTGGGCATGCAGTGATGCTGATACTTCAGGTCGGAGTGTTGGAGAAGTTGAAGGACGTTCCTGTAGTCACGGGGTTCGATCTTGCTTGCTTTGCAGCAGCAATACTGACATCTTCAGCTTGCATTTTTCTGCTGTCCAGACTTGCTCGATAATCAAGTCTCATAGGGAGTTATGAATTCAACCGAAAAAATGGAGTTCCACCTATAATGGGGCCAGCTTTTTAATTACCAAAAATTTCCCTTTTCTTTTCCCTAACAACAAGGATATGGTTAGATAGTTATCCAACGGGACCCAATTCATTGATTGGATTTGGGCATGTCACTCATTCGTTCCTCCCATCTCTCCAAGGCAGAGTAGTATTTCAGGATTTCTGAATTAATATTGATTTGTCGTTATTTTTTGTTGATATAATTCTTTGGGACCCATCCTGTATGTGTAGTTTAATCGAGCCTATTCTAGGGTTCTCCCCCCCCCCCCACCCAAAAAAAAGAGAGAGAAATTTTTTAAGCATGACAGTAAGACAATTGCTTTCCCAGTTAAGCAGAGCTTTGATTTAGAGTAAATTATTTAATCATTTTTAAATTCCGTTTAATCACATGGGATATTAAAAATTACTAGTATGTTTGAATCTCTGATATTTATATTGATTTTAGTATTTTTATACTCGATCGGTCGATCCGATTCAAACATTGAAATCATGAACCAACTGTTAAGAACTTGCAATGAAATTTTCAAAAAATTAAACCTACACAATAAATGCACTTAATAGAATAAAATAAATCAAATTACATATGGCGATTAAAAAAGAATGACTATAGGCATCAAGCAAAGTAAAGGAATACATCAAAATGAATTTTTAAATGCTAATTAAAATGTCTCTGATCTCTGCTAAAGATGGTATATTCTCCGAAGGGTACGTCTTGGCGACGAGCTGGACAAAACTTTCATACTTATCAAGAAACTCCTTCTGTCATATCAATTTTTGGAAAAAACCACAATCAGATAGCATCATTATTATTCACTGCTTTTACGATCTTTCCATTCACAAACCTGCACAACACGGAGCTACAATGTAGTTCACCTAACCGCCAATTGAGTTTGTGCAGGTTTTTGCATGGAAGATCGTGCCAGCTTTATACCCCATCCACTTTCTCCTTGGATCAAATGCATTTAGAGTTCAACATAGATGCTTTAAGCACTAGAAAACCTGGGCATGCAAAAGATTCTGCTTCTATTGCAAATTTCACTGGTTTTTGTTTGCACCTATCTGTTGTAGTGATGCACTATTCTCTTGATCAACTCATTACTTCAATTAAAATATATCAATTTACCGCAGTTTTTTTACCACTTTCTTGCTTTTCTTAAACAGGTGGTATCTGGTTGGCCAAATGAGCTCATACTGCATACCTTGCATTTCTCCCACAAGGAAGGTAACAGTTCCTCTGAAGTCAAGTTCTTCTGTAATTTCTTATACATTGCACCAAAAGACCTATCAACCTGAGACATAATAGCCAAGATAAGTTTGATACTTACGATAAGACAGATTCCAAATAAATATGCATCACCTTACCCCGGATAAACTGGCTTTTAACATCTTCCTAAGATCCGCTTTTGACAGCCCGAGCTGGTAAGGAATCTGAAATTGATGCAGAACAACAGGTATTTGCTGAATATTCAAAATTTTACATGGAACGAAATATTATCCGCTCATCTCACAATCGCTGGGGGAAAAGAGTTCTAAGACGTTCACTAGTAGAGGCAATTTTTTGAGCTCCTATTATCGCATGTACTATGCTTTTCTTACAGATTAAAAAGGCTCCGAAAGCCATGACTCAAGTGACACTCTCGTGAACACAAGTGTCAATGAGTCTTGGTATCCTTTTCCGATTCTCTATTTCCAAGGTTTGTGCCTCCTTTGTAAAAGAAACATCATCGATAAATGACAATGCTACATCAGGTCAATCTAAAGAAGGAGGACAGTGCCCGGCAATATCGATAAATGATAATGCTACGTCAGGTCAATCCAAAGAAGGAAGACAGCGCCCGGAAATTAACTTCAACATTGCACAGTAGAAAAAATATTGCTGTTCGTGACCATTAAAAGAAGGATGCAACATTACATGAACCATGTGTGTGTATGCATATCAATTGGCACTGATGTCAGTCAAACTTAATCTTACATCATTAAATAAATTAACCCTTTGAAAATCCATTGTTGAATAAATTTATTTTTTAATAATCGTCAGTTTGACATTAATAAGATGCAGACAAACTTTTAAATTGTATCTACATAGATTAAATAGTAATATGAACGATAAAAACAATATAATTGATAAAAGATTTCTAGACAAGTGGAGACGCTAAATGACGCAAATCTACAAAGAACAGTCAGATAAATTGGCACAGAAATTAGCACTCACCTCTTCAGGTGGGATAGTGAACATCAAGTCCTCAATCCTTTTAGCAAACTGAAAAAGACGTTCAAATTGCTTCCCAAGGAAAAAGAAGGATAATCAGTCAAGTTTAACACATCATGCTTGATCAACGGATGAGAAACAGAGTATGCATTACATAGTAAATAACCATGCTAATGTGGCGTGTGCAAGCTTGTTCATAGGATTCACTGGCCTGATGGTAAAACTTTGCCAAAGTTGGAACAACATTAGCGAGGTCATACAAGCTGAGCAAAATTAACAAAAAAGTAGCGAGTTAAAAAATGAACCTGTCTTTCTCTGCAATATCAGCTTAACACAAGACAAGAACCTACCTATTTTGAAAGGCTGCATAGTTCTCTAATAGAAAAATATCTTCATACTTTGGATCTGTTTGTGCAATTTTTTCTAAAGTCACAAACATTATGGTAACCTGTAAAGCAACCATCCCACCAGAAAATGACAGTATAGAAATTGCAGTTATAGTTTGTTTAAAATTAATAAAGAAAAAAAATGCTCAAGACTGTTGAAAGGAAGAAAAAATGATGAAAGACTCAAATACTATCAATTAAAGGCTGCTCCTCACATATCTGCATGTATGCAACATATGCTGACAAAAAGGGTAAGCGGTAAACTTAACCACTAATACCAAGACATATAGACAAGGCAAAGATTCTCAAAGAAATCTCTCTCATTTAAGAAGTCGATTCACAAAGAACTTTCTTGACTTTCTGGCTGATGTACATATTAGTTAGAATTTCCAGAACCCAAGTAACCCGGTGTATGCCTTAAATGTTATCTATGATGCACAAATACGAGTATGTGTATTGGATGAAACATAATATGACACTTCAGATATAATAAATTGTAAAATTTTAGAATATAGATACAGGATATATACACATGTGATTATGTATGAATTCAATAAATTAACGCATGAAAAATGAATAATATAAAAATAATTGAATTTTCAACAAATATTTTGAAACTAATACAGAGATAACAACAACAAACAATTTAATTTTCATTAAGTTTTTAGGCCATTTTAAAATATTTCAAATAAAAAACTAATAATAAAAATGTTAAACTTAAAACAAATTATGTGTATCATCCAGTATAACATATATAGTAGTGGATACATACTGTATGTGGAAGAAGTCAAAAGGTTTCAAGTTCTTTCATCTGGAAAGTTCATCGCAGGCTAACGTGCATTATTAATTTATTATCTCTAGTTACTCGAGCATATTAAATGACAATCCATGTATTAATGTGTATCTAAAATGAAATTTTTTTGCTGTCAGCTTCTCTGTTATATAAGAAACCCACATTGAATGCAACTCTAAAAATTGAAAAGTCTAATTGTTATATTTTTTCTTTGAAAGGAAACTGTTTGAAAGAAACGCTTACATAGAAATGTTTCAAAATAAGATTCAAGCCATTCGTGACTGTGAGATGGCTGCTAGGATACGGCATAGTTTGGGTAGGTTGGAAGTTAATGATGGTTTCTTTCAATTGGGATTAACAGAGTGGATTGGTGGCAATCTGATGGGTACTGAGGACTGGTCCAGAATTTTTGGGGTGACTTGTTTGCGGCAATGGACCTGGAGAAATAAAATTTTGTTTGAAGATGGGTTTGAGCTCCCTGTCGACCCATCAAGAATCATTCTGCATTATGTGGAGGGGGTCAATTCTGTGCTTAGTGGTAGGGGTATGGTTGGTGGCAGGAAGAAAGTGGTGAATATTAGCCGGTCTCGCCCTCCTGCTGGGTGGTATAAACTCAACTTCGATGGAGCTGCACGTGGCAGTATCAAGATGGCGGGATGTGGAGGCTTGGTGAGGGATGATGGTTGGGGTTGGATTGGTAGTTTTTCAAAGAAGCTTGGTGATTGTTCTGCCATAAATGCTAAGATATGGGGGGTTTCATGAGGTGTCAGATTGGCGAAAGAGTTGGGGGTGAAGTTTCTTGGTGGTGGAAGGTGATTCTGCAGCTGTTGTTCATGCGTTGAAGGAAGCTTGGGAGGATGGCGTTACTGATAAGGTACTGGTGGGGGATATTTGTAAAGAACTTTCTTCTTTTACTCAGGTTAGGATACAACATGTGTTTAGGGAGGGAAACAAGTGCGCAGATTGGTTGGTTAATAGGAGTTTTTCACTGGATTTTGCCGTTAGGAGGGATTTTGAGCCTCCTGATCAGTTGATGTCTCTACTGTATGATGATCTCTTGGGTGTTTCTTGCCCATGGGAAGTTTTGATAATGGAATAATAGTGGGGCTTATCCAACATTCACCGAAAAAAAAAAAAACAACAAGAAGAAGAATGTTCCAAGAGAAATTGTAGGTAACTCGGGAAAATTGTGATATATTCGAAAACACGCAAGTTCATGATGAAAATTACTCACAAATTTCATGTATGCTTGGTCAACCAAATCCCTTGACTGCCCTTGGATGTATTGCTCCATACGCGTCGCAAGGGTTGCAAATCTACAAAAGAGTGGGTAAGAAAATAATAGATGCCCATCATGAAAAAAAGAATTGAGATGTGAATCATATGATTTATAAACTGAGAACTATGAGACATTGCAGTTATAGCTTTAATATCTGTCGAAAAATTGAGAACGAGAAAATATTTTTCTTTTCCAAAAAATACCAGAATTTAAACATCAAAATAGAAATTATCCAAGGCCAATCATGAAACTGACTTATAGGGAATTAAAAACTACATAAGCCATATACGAACCATATGGTAAAGCCAGGATGGACAAAATCAATCATAACAACTGGCACAATTTGAACCAGCTATTCCCTAGTATGAGAAATCAGTTTTTCAAAATACCAGGCACAACCCATTACTTGGAGTATAAAGTGTTCAAATACTCTAACACCCATAACATTAAGTGTCATGAGATTTTTGAGCACCCTTTTGGATTCCCAAAAGTGAGAGAAGCCATCTTTATGGCTGCAAAAGAATCGCCCTTTTAGAAATAGGAAAAAAAATCAAATGAATATGGTTCCCAGAAGAGTGGGCATTAAAAAGAAACCAATGTATAGTGAATGATCGTCTTTAATGAAGAGCTTACAAGAAGCTGTTAAAGCCTCTAATTGGTTGAAGAGTACAACTGTGCTATCATTTTCAAAAAATAACTCGTCGTTTCTTTAAAAAGAAGTAGGAAGGGGGAGAACTAGAGATTGAGGATCCATTTCACCTGGGAATGTAAGGCAAGACACCCATTTGGCGAACATTACGCTCATGTCTTTCAATCTGATGGCAGGCTTCATCTACAAACTACAGTAAGAGTTCGAATTAAAACAAATGGGTTAGCAACCTTGTCTTCAGAATGTATTTTGCACAATGAACTTCTTAGTAATGCTAATTACATACACGGATGAATTGCATGGATATCCGAGACTCTAGGTCACCGAGCACAAGGCATACAAATCCTGCTGCATCAGCTTTCTGACCAGAGAGATGGCGCTCTGTTATTCCGTGCATTGATATGCAGCACAAAGGATCGATTTTGTATGCCCAATCTACCACGGCATAAAAGTCTTCCTGAAAGCATTGAGTAGCTTGGTGTCAATAAAATGTACGAGCTTTTGATCAACAAAGATAACAAATCCTGCAAGTCAATGAAGGGTGTCTAATCCTGAGAAACAATAGATATCAGTTTTATGTACTGTCTTCAAAGAAAGAAAAAATAACAGTAGATAGGTTAAAACTAATCTTCCCTTCGTCTTCATAAGCCCGGGATGCAGATTACAATCCACATCACTTTACGTGGAAGCTAGCTTTAATGAATCTCATTATTTAACTTCGCACATTCTCTTGCCAAGGATTTTCTATTTAGGATGCTGATGTTGACAAGAAGATCAAGTTGCTTGCAACTTAGGTTGTTAGCAATCATTCACAATATTATTGTGGGGGATTGCTTTAGAAAGCCTCACAGAGCTTTATCATTACATCTCAAAAATATCAGAGGCTCAAAAATACATTGAAAGCAATACGGAGGATTTTCTACACATACCTGGATTCCATCTAGCAAATCCTGAAGGAACTCATTCAAAGATGCAAGCTCCGCAGGATTCATACCTATAAAATTAAGCCAATTGTGAAATTCTGGATAACTTAATAGTGCCAGAAGAAAGGTTATTTTTGGAAAGCAGACTAACAAGCACCGGATTTGCTATCATTCTCATCAGTGATCATAATCCCCAAATCCTCATCATTGGCTTCATCACCTTCGTCATCATATCCATCTTCATTACCATTATTAGTGCCTCCTGGAGGAGCCAGTGTGGGAGCTTCGAAACACATGAAGTGAGCAAAAAAAGAGCTCTGCAATTGAAGCCATGAAGATTTTTATTATGTAATTTAAAAAATTTAAGCAACATCAAAAGTTAATAAATATGGAAGAATTTCACCTCATCCACTAGAAGAGGGACAAAAACTGTGAGCATCTTTGCATAAGCCTCAGAAACTGAAGAAGTGTCAGCAGTGTTTGCATTCTGACCAGAACCTGTGGAACCTTCAAGCCAAACAGTTGGATTTTTAGGTGCTTTAGTACTAGCACGAAGTTCATTTGCAAACTCACGGGCCTGTGGAAGGAAGAAAGAAACTTATGACTTCGTGCACACTTAGAAACTCATGACTCCGTGCACACTTTCTCAATGCAACATCAGTAGATTAAGGGACGGGTCATAGAATTCAAACAATAGGCATGACACACATCTTTCTTTTTCTTTTTGAATAAAACATTCAACATATATTAATTCAAAACAAGGTCCATGCAATGGAAACAAAAAAACCTAGTTCTTTTCATCATCCACCACCTTACAGAACAAGGTGGGCTTGGCACAAATCTTTCAGTCAATACAAAATTGCAAACAAAAGTCGCTAAGGTTACAGTTAGGAAGATCCGAAGGGGTCATCATAAAACAGATAAAGCAGCACCAAACTAAAGGGTCTACTAAATAATCCAGGCCAAAATGTCTCGAGGAAGCTGGCAGACAAGTAATTGCAAAATCTCTCCTGGTTAGTTAAAAATAACTGCAATCTCATCCCTATTCAAACAAGATTTGCAATGAAATAAAAAAAGGACAGCCCGATGCATGAAGCTCCTGCTAGGCGCAGGGTCCAGGGAGAGTTGGATGTAGTTTGAGTCTACAGTATGCGGCCTTATAAAGTAAAAAAAAAAAAAAACATTTTTCTATGCTAATTGCTAACAACCATTTTAAAATCTCATTATTAAGAAAATAATTAACAATTATCTCTGATACATTAGAATTAAGATAATATGATCTTCTGATGAAAAGCAAATGATATCTGTTAACAGGTACTAAAGGATTTGGGAAGTTTTGTGATCATTGTCATTGAGGTTTCAGCATATATGTACGCATTATAACATTCTTTCAATAATATATTTTGCATGGTCCTTTTTCCTCCTAACTTCTTCTCTCCCTCGTTTCTCAACAATAGTATACGAAGCTTCAAGCCTGCCACTTCATTTTTCTGTCTGAGTCACGTTTCCTTCAAGGACCAAGTGCCCAGTGTCAAGATAAGGCAACCCCTATATAATGCCAACTTACCAAGTAAGAACATAATACTAAAACTTGATGGCCCCCAAGTGGAAGCAGATTTGAAAGGCTTAAAAGTTTACATATGATTCATGATAATGTCAAGTAAGCAAGATTCCAGCTTAAGCGCCAATAGTATAATTTCTTTCCCCATATTGACTCTGTTCATGAGTAGCCCAATATTTTATGCCAAGACAACTAAATATTAAACTATTAATCAGATACAACCTGCACAATTTGAACTGGCATAATTATCGGAAATGGTTGACCAACCCCAAGTAAGTTCAATCTTATACTGTCTCCCCGACGATAGTCAGGAAATCATTGACCAACCTTAAATAAGTATATAAATTACTCAACTGAATATAAAAGTGAGTTCACTCTGTCTCTCTCTCTATTCTTTTTCCCAATAATATAAAAGTGACTTCAGTTTTTATTGGGATAGAGTAATTCATAGAAATAACTTAAACACCAGCAGATTAATGAACAAACAACATTAATGTGGGGTATCAATAGTTTGTAATCTCAGACCTCCCTTCGGAGAAGCGTGTTAAGAGAGCTGCAATAAGCCTTCCTCAATGGACCTAAGAATTTTTTATCAAGATTCTGCAAGTGAAAATAAGAATAGTTTGGGGATAAACCAAAAGATGAAGCACCAATTATATGCGCACAAAACAAAACTTCAGAAAGAAATTGTCAAGTTTTTCATAATTTAACCTTTAAATGTTGCAGAAGGCGTACATATGTCCTGCATTTGTGCCGTAAGTCAGCATGGTCAGGCCTCTTAAACTGCCCCCTCTGTTTAAAGCAAGCACAGCCCACAAAGTGGTGCTTAGAATTCTGAGGCTTTTTGAAGTTTGTAATTCTTTTAAGAACCTGAATAGAAAATACCTGGGAAAAGTAACTTTTATCATTAATCATGAAATCCACCAAACTGGCAAAATAATTTGTTAGGAACTCAGAAGCTCTCCTGACAAAAATAGATTTTAATTTTTCAAGTTCTGCACGCCTGTCTTTAACCTGTATGGACAGCCAGAAACAAAGTTAAAACAAACGGCTTTGTTTAGACAAAAAAAAAATATATTTATATATTCTGGCCTATATATATATATATATGCAGTATTGAGTATTGGCCACAAACACAAGTACTCTATTTGCAAGCTCAAATTCACAATAAAACTCTCATACGGAGCCTTTCCAACAATCATAGCAGTCAAAGGTAATGGATAGAATTCATAATTGTCACCTTGGATATCAAATTACACACAATACTTTAATAACAAACAGCAAGCTTTCCATGTTTGGCCCAAAAAACAAGGTTTTCCGTGTCAAAGTTCTGCCCAACGACAAGTTAACTTGTAGGACAAGCAGGAACCACCATTAAAGCAAATAACTTTCTGTTCCTATATGCAGTATCAACCACAAACAAAACTGTATCTGCCTTTTGAGCTCAAATGCACAGTAGAACTCTCAGACAGTGCCTATCCAACCAATTGAATTTCTTTCAATCCTTTTCTAGCCAGCAAAACAAGGTTGTCATGTGGAATAAATAGATTACCAGATGGTTTTCAAAAGTCAAACAAGCAAGGCAGAGAACATACAGCTCTCATATTAGCAAAAGCAGGGTCTATATCAGGCACTTCGAGACTATGCAAGGCACCTGCCAACCACTCACATGCTTCCATATTCCGAAGCATGCGTGCCTCATCAAATGAACCTCCTGTCAGACAAGCTGCAAGCTGCCCCCAGTGAAATATTGCAATAAATACTAGGCTAACTATATTTGTCAAATTCTAAAAAGCATTTAATTTGACCAATAAAGGTATACCTCAGAAGGGACATGCAACCGCTCAAGAAGTTTATCGAGTTCCTCAATAAGAGCTTTATTGTTTACTGATTGCATTTCCAACTTGTTATTGCGAGTTTCTATCTACAATACAACAAATTGAGACCAACTATGAGAATTATATTGGCTACAAGACTTGAAGAAGTAACATATAAAATTCTCAATTTAAGCAGAAAGGAACACCAGTAGCATCGCAAGATAGGCCACCTCTTAGGTTTCAATTATGATCTAACTTTCATAGGTAAAAACATCCATGCCTAAATTAATATTTTTCCCTTCAGCTTTTAATTATCATTTATACGCACATTCCTCTTGGTTTTAAATGAACAAACTAAATCTTTAAAAGTGGCGGTAATGTGTGACCTATTATTATAATATAGAAACAGAATTAATTACACCAGGATCATTAATATAATTTCCCTTTTTCAGTTACTGCACAGGTTGAACCAAGGCAAGAGCAGTGATAACAATCTACTGGAGCAGAGGTAGATGGAAGCCCATTGGACACCCTGAACATTTTGATACTTGTATATGTACAAAGGGATAAATTGCTTTATATTATCATTGTTATATAGATTATCAACAACTTTAAATATTTTTTAGCATGAAACTAGTTAAAAATTTATAGAATCTTAACCAATTGATAAATCAAATAAATTTTTACTGAGGAAAATATGCTTATTCCCTTTCACGTTGCATGCCATGTGTACAGTCTAGCACACAATTAACTTTTCTAATTATAATTTAATTTAGTCTTTTTTTCCTAGCATATAGAATATAATTATATTTAGTGTTATTTTAAAAAATTATTTATTATATAACTTTAAGTTTTGCCCCCTCTAAGTTAATTTCTACTCCTGTGCTAAAAAAAATCTAGCATGCACAAGAATTAGCAGTATTCTCAATGATTTTGCAGGCATTTCTATAACAACCACTAATTAATCTGTGCTAAGCAATTATACTCCAAACATGAAAGGTAAAAGTCCCTACTGATTCAATATCCTCCCTCATGTGCCTTAATTTCACATTGAAAATGCACAACCATTCATCCATGTCTTCCGTGCAATGTGCTGCTGCTTCAAGCCCCTGCAACACCTGCAAGGCAAAAATCATTTCAACCACCTAATTTGAAATGAGCTAGAATTGAGAAACAAAATTTGGGGAAGAAAGCAGATTATAATAGGTGAAGAAAATAACAATGCTGAGATACAATTAAAGCTTGGAATCTCAATGTGAGTTAGAAGCATCAGCATCAAGCAGAAGGTTAAATTAGATAAAGAGGTTGATCTTATACAAAGCTTCCTAATATAAGTTGTTTTAAATAATTAATATATGCTGTAACAGTGCAAATGCTTTGTTCTATCCTAAACAGTAACAGGTAGAAATGGAGATATCATGGAATACATGAATCAAGGGCTGGTTTATAACGGTTAACAAACAATATGGCAATAACAGAAGGACGTCCTTAAACTTAAGAACAATTATACCTCATCTATCAAAGGTTCGCTTTCTAAGATGGCATGCACATTTGCTGCTTCCAGAGCCTGGAGCTCTCTCTTCAATCTTTCAGAAAATGCCTCTGCTTCACCAATACCCATGACATAACTGCTCATTCAGACATTGATATTAGTACGACAAACATCAGTGGGAAGGTTAACGTGCAGTTTCCATGTGAGAGAAAATGACTCAATAAATATTCGTTGCACATAACTAGTTTCATTGAAATTTTTCTCATAAACACGTATAAGCATCATATTTAGTGCCTGCTAGTGATTCATATAATATTTATGAGCGAGGAGACAAAGAGATGTGCCATGCAACACTGAAATGAACCCTCCACATTTTTTTTAAATCAATCCAAACAAATAAGTTTGAGAGGAATAGCACTTACGTTCCCAAAAGAGCCTCCATGTCTTCTTCTTCTGCCTGGGAAACAAGTTCCTTCTCTACATTGACTTTCAATTCTGTCTCGGTCACAGCAGATTCAACAGGACCACCATCTTGTGGGTTTGTATGAGCAGCAACTGCAGGTGTGTTCTCCTATTTCACATTTGTTTAAAGAAAAATGTAATAAGAAAAACTAATGGTCTATAATGGGTCAGTTTGAAAAGACTATAAGATTTCAATTAAAAACTTCAACACTTAATCAAATTAATAATATAAATTCATCAAAAATTAACAAAACTTTGGAATAACCACATAGACAATATAAGTGAAGCCAACTCAAAAGCAATGTAAACCATACCAAGTACATAATACATGAAGAGTGAACAACGATGTTACACTGAACTGTAACAATATCCATTCATCAATATCACACACCTTGGCCCAGAGAGCCATCTCCACAACATCTTGCCAATAACCTTAGGAAGGCGACCCAGTACATCTTTGCATATATTTAAGATTTGCATTAGGATGCGGTTCCTACAAGAAAAAGTAATAGCCATGATAAGAATTTTTGTTGTGTCCAAACATAAATTTTACTATAAAATTTTGAATTTTTGAGATTATACTTCTCTCTTAATGATAAAACCTGTCATCAACATTGCGCATTGTCCACTGAGGTGGAGCTACAGTATGGTTTTCTGATGTTATCAAATCCCTACAAGATGCAATTTCATCATCTATATAATATATGACATAGAGAGATAAAAACAAACTTCAAAACAGGATAAGACTGCTTCTCATTTTGCTTCAGTGCTGCAGCTGAGAATACTGTATAGAACATACACAGAAGATCCTCTGTCCTGCACAATTGCCGTGCAGCACAGCGAAGGTAATTTTTCTAAAAACAAATAAACATAAACACTATACCCCCGAGCCGCTATGTAAAACAAAGAGCTGTCATAGAATGAAAGAATAGACCATTACCAGCGTAAATGTACATCCACTGGGGTCAGCTGATATAAGTTCCATCTTTGAGAGGTGTTTCAGCTTGTATAACTTTGCAGGCTACAACGACAAAAAAAGAAATTAAATAGAAAGCATGACGGGATCTTCAACCAAGTCTACTGTACCTCGAAACTGTCAAGCATCAAGTGATTTAGTTTCAGTTTATCTGTTGGAAAGTGCACATTCCCAACTTTATTTATCACTATGATTTCAGAAGGGGAGGAGGGAGGTGTGTGGTATGTCTATAATAAAGTTTCAGAAGTTCTCAAATATATATGAATACAAGGAAGGGACAGTTGACAGAGATATTGTGAAAAACAATTAATTATAAAATCCTTTGGCCTTCAACGAAGTGTGTTTTAAATTGAATGATTGTTTAATATGGCACTAAGATTCTATGACCAAGCGAACCAAGGTGTCATCACATCCTCTCCAAAATTATATTAATTAGGCCAAATTTCAATCTCACCCCCCTCCACCCGGGGGGAGGGGGTGGTCATAAAATAGTGGCTCTACCCCTGCTTGGGAGGATATTTTCCTTTCAGGCATTGGAAATCATTACAAGAGAAAGGAAATGTAGAACAGGAGAATTGCCTATAACAAGAAAGTCAACGAAAAACACAAAAAAGCCCGAAAACACGCTTATCAACTGAACCCCACGTAAAGGCTAAACAGAAACGCCCATTTCAATGACAAGTGGGTAGGAGAAAGCTACCTCGAGAACTCCTCCATTGGAGTACTTTAAGACTCGAAGAAAAGCTTTTGTCCTCTGACCTTTCACTTTGACTGCGTGAAATAGCACGATGTCGTCAACAATACTTCAAAAGCAGCATTAAGAACCATTGCAGAAATAACAAGAATTATGAAGAATTTTTGGCAGCAGAAGGGAAGTTAAATCATCATCTGATACGGCCGCATAATATGTACTAAAGCCTATAATATTTTTAGGTGCGTTCAAACCATCCATTTCTGGAGTGCTACTTTAGAATGTACCAAACCACTAAATTACTATGTACTGTCATTAGGGAGAATTATTCATGCAGGAATAATAAACATCGAACGTAACGAGAAAGAAATGGGAAGATAAACAAAGTCAACAACAGCAATTATTAATTATTGTAGAGTAATACTTATATCAATTATAGCAGAACGCAGAGCAAACAAGCTTTTCTAAACACTCATTCCAGTCTACTTCATTCATCTTTCATACATTTTTCGAAAGTGAGTTGGGTGAAGCACCATGTTCAACTCGAAGGATCGTAAACAGAATCCACGAACTTGAATTTAGAAAGACAGACCAGGAAAATGCAGGATTGAAAATTACGTACTGCAGAGCGAGAACCCTGGGCTTGGCCATTGCTTGACGGCCTCCTAGCATGCCGGATTTTCCCCAAATTCCGCGACTCTTGGCAACACGTATCGACATAACAGCCTTCTGTTTGGTGCCTTCAATTGCAGCCTGGCAAGCTCGCCGGAGTTCAGCATCGTCTGCGCTCGATTTCGCCATTTGCTCTGATCTCAAGACTTACTCCGGTGATGTAAACTTTCGGGGAGAATTACGCACAAGGTCAGAGAGACGTGCGCGTCTTCGGAGTTAACATGCAAAAAAAAAAACGGTCACGTTGGATCTTCGTCGTGTCCGTGACATTGATGTTCGCTTACCTTTTAGCGAGATTAATTTTTGGGAAAATTATAATAAAAACTTATATAAGTTAATATTTATTATAAACTATCATAAAAATAATAGGATACTATGGGTTCTATCATTTTTTATGTAAGATTTTTCTTCAACTTTTAAAAATATTTGACATT